AATTAATCATTTAGACAGGCTACAACAATAGTCACAGCAGTAACAGTTTAGTGAAGAAATGCAAATATAACTAAACAATGTTTACTGTGCTTCTTCTATTCCTAGGTTTGGTGGAACAGACTGGTTTCCCAGTCTCCCAGGAGCAATTGGGACAGTTTGTGACAGAGACTAACAACATTCAATGTGGAGATGAACACCTTCAGGCACAGTTTGAGGACCTCCAGAGACAGTGTGGCCTAGCACATCCACAGAGTTGGGAATCATGTGTCGAAAACTATATCAAACTGAAAAACATGGCGGACTTATAAACAAACAAGAATCTAAATTTGAAGGTCTCACACAAACACTAACCAACAGTGTTATAACTGAACAGGTTTGACAAGTTAAATAGTCAGCATTTTGTTTTGTTGTTATGCATTTGACCTTAATAAAGCCCAAACCCAGGGGAGTTTTGAATCCCAAAGTCCATGTCTTCTTTAAACTGATGATACGTCTTGGACTCAGTATTTTGATAGTGTTGGAGCAGGTGCTACTGACAGGAAAACGAGAAGTGGCCTGAAAGATCAGTTTTGGTGGTGGCAGAATTGAAGATGGAGGTAGTGTGTTCAAGCCGGTGGCAAACATCAGGATGTCCTGGAGAGAGAGACCCGTTTTTTGTTCTAGAAAAGAAGCAACGAGTTCATGTATCAGATATTACAACAACACAAAAATATAGCAATAAATCTTAATGTCCACCTTCTGTGTCAAGGAGATAGTCTCTCCAGAATCCTAGCACTCTTGTTTCCTCATGTCGTCTGCTGCTACCCTTTTCACTGAGCTGAACCTCAAATATTTCCTCCAATATTTTGAAAGTCAGCTGTTCCACTCTTGCACACATAAATGGCCTGAACACGGAAGCATGCTGCTTCGGAAGCATTCTGGAAGTTCAGTGTTGAAAGGCCATCCTTGAATCTATAAAAAGTTTGAAACAGAAATCACCTTAATTATTATCAAAAGAGCATAACTTTAAATAGATATTTTTCAGTCACACAAAGAACATTAATATGTCTAATCTTTTTTTATTATTTTTATTTAGCATAGGTAATATTGCTGATCCACTGTACACAGTGAATTAACCCAAAGTAACGTTATTTTTCTCCAGTTAAACCGTCCAATCAACAAGGCTCCTACTTATTTGGCTGCTGGGTGCTGTTGATTGATTGATTCTTGCACTATTGTACATTTGCTTGTTTTAACTGCAACAAAATAGTAACTAAATTAGCATAGTTATTTTTTAAGTTAAGGAAGAGAAACATTACCTTTGAATAGAGAAATGGTTGCGGTAAATGATGTACCAATCAATGAACTCCTTTACAATTTTCCATTTGTCATCAACACTCACAGGGAACTGCAAGCAACCAGCAGTTTGCAAGATGCTTGCATGTCTTTCAACTGACTGGTGTAGTTCAGTCAATGTACCTGCACTGGATATCTATGGTAGAGAACAATAACCAAAAACATAAATGAATATACTACTCCAGTACCTGTTTGAAGGTAAGAAGATATACAACACTTAAAGGGGCATTGTTATGTGAAATTAATTTATAAAAGAACATGGCATGGTTGTTGGTGCCAGACATGCACCAACAACATTGCAAACAAAACTCTCAGCAGTATTTTAGGAATACTGATGAGTATTTTTGAAATATTCAGCAGTTTATGAAATACTCTGAATCTGCTGATCTACTGGGATTCTCATACACAACCTTCTCTAGGGTTTACACAGAATGGTCCAAAAAAGGTAAAATATCCAGTGAGCAACAGTTCTGTGGCTGCAAATGCCTTGCTGATGCCAGAGTTCAGAGGAGAATGGCCAGAAAGATTTGAGCTCATAGAACAGCAAGAATAACTCAAGAAACCACTCGTTACAACCGAGTTATGCAGAAGAGCATCTGAACACACAACATGTCAAACCTTAAGTCAGATGTGCTATAGCAGCAGAAGACCACACCGGATGCCATTCCTGTCAGCCAAGAACAGGGAGCTGAGGCTACAATTCACACAGGATCAACAAAATTGGACAATAAAAGATTGGAAAAACGTTGCCTGGTCTGATGAGTCTCAATTTCAGCAATGACATTTGGATGGGAGGGTCAGAATTTGGTGACAACATAAAAGTATGGATCCATCTGGCTCAACGGTTCCACGATTCAGGGTGGTGCAATGGAGTGCACTTTGGCCCATTGGTACCGATCGAACATCGTGTCAACGCCAAAGCCTACCTGAGTATTTTGCTAAGCAAAATACTTCATGACCACAGTGTTTTCATCTTCTGATGGCAAATTGCAGCACGTTAACTTGCCATGTCAGAAAGCATGAATCATCTCAGACTGGTTTCTTAAACATAATGAGTTCACTGAACTCGAATGGCCTCCATAGTCACCAGATGTCAATCCAATAGAAAACTTTAGGGATGTGGTGGAAGGAGAGATTTGCATCATGGATGTAATGCCAACAAATCTACAGCAACTATGTGATGCCATCATGCAAAGATGGACCAGACTATCTAAGGAAAGTTTCCAGTATTTAGTTGAATCCATGCCACTATGGATTAAAGCAGTTCAGAAGGCAAATGGGCGTACAAACCGGTACTAACGAGATGTACCTAATAAAGTGGCTTGTCTTTTTTATGCATATAGCATTCTCATAAGTGAAGGTAGCGTAGGTACTTGTTTGTGCTTTAATATGACAACATGTGCCTTTTAGAAAATATCAGATTTATTCTGAACAATAGAATCGTATCAAACACAAAATACAAATGATCTTGTTATGGAATAATGAAGTTATGGAATAACAAAATTTTTGCTTGATTGTAACAACTTGTAAAGCCTCATCAATAATGCTATCCTACCTCAATCAAAGAAGCCCTCATGGTGTTGTCGGTGATGTCTTCTATCTTTCCTTCTGTATTTGTTGATGTTCCTGTGAGGTGCTGGTAGAGCTTCTCAGATAAGAATTGAGGACCTGGACCTCCATGAACGACAGAAGTGGCAATCATCCTCCCAACCAGGAAATATTCATCATTTTTGGCTGCTGTATAGATTTTGTTCACATTAATTCCACATTCACCAACGGCTGTCACATTCTTATGAGAAAACTCTGAAATATTGCCCTTAACGCCAATACCTTCACTGTCAAAAGTGATAAATTTCCTTTCTTCAGGCCCATCAAAGACTCTTCGAGTCCTTAAGCAGTTCATTAAAAGGCTTAGAAACTCGCGCTTGGGACCACCGTTATCAACACCGTCTTCTGCCTGTCCCTCGTCATCGGTGAATTTTACAAATATTTCATTGAAAGGGTTGAAAGAAGCCCGCTTGAAACCTCTCAGTGCTCCATCCCATACATTGGCTCTGTTTATGTTAAAGCGGCTGAGAGATGATGACTTGATCATTGCCGAGAGCTCTGAAATGATGTCCGCAGCAGTCACGTTGTCTGTACTATAAAACATGAAGTGTACAATTATTTCAAATACAAAAAGCACAAAAGGATTTAGAAGAAAACTAATTTCTAATTAATACCTTTGCTCAGGGAACTGCATCACATATTCATCCGGCTCAGAGTCGCTGTCAACAATTATTGGTGCGTACACATTTGTGTAGTTGCTGTATTGAAAAGGAAATAGAGTAAATACTTTACTAGGTAAATAATTTAAATTCATCCCTGATAAGGCATAGAGATTTCTGTCAGTCATTCTTGGCAGTAGGACAGCTAACACCAGCATATTTGGCTAATTCTTGCACACTACTCAAAGTTTGATCGAAAAAAAATATTGAACAACCAGAAGTTATGGTGCTGTCAAGTTTTTTGCTCTTAAACCACCTCATCTTCTGCCCAAACTTGAAAAAGCTTGCTTCCCTCAAAGAAAAGCAGGAACCACTAATGTCAGCAACAATTATTAGTTATCTTTTATTTTTGTCTGTAGATTATTTCAATTGACAGTGTAAGACCACCATGACTTTACATAAGTAGTCACAGAGCAGGTTGAAAACCTACAAACAAATTAAACAAAATCAATTACAGATCACAATGAACTAATTAAATATTTTTCAGGTAGTGTTAACAATCTACTTTTAAGTAAACAGTGAATGAACAAACAAATAAACTACATTCCAAACACATAAAACCCATTGAATCAAAGGCTAATTTTGGTCTCTGAATGCAGATTAAATGATATAATGTCCAGTTCCTACCAGAGTGTCTTTGTGGAAGCTTGAAGCTGAGGCTCTTTGTCTGCAGAGATCATTGTGAGCACAGGTGTGCCAAGTTACCTGATAGACTTCAGATGGGCCTGAGTGAAAGGGATGGGTGCGCTTGGTTCTCTGTGATGTGTGTGCCAGTTGGGTGGAGATAGTAAATGCACTCACAAATGTACCATTTGCTGTTTTAACTTGACAGGTGCAAAACTTTTTTTTTCAATGACTTTTTTCAGTTTGGAAATGTAAGAAGACATTTTAGTTGAGATTAATAATTCAGTTAATTACAGTTCTTGGATTTATCCGTGATGGAATTTTTTGTAAGTCTTTATGCCAAATATTATGTGCAATTTCTATAAATCATTTCAGTAAATGTGTTGACATGTGCAAAAGTTGACATGTGCTCACACAACCTACTGATAGAAGCGGTTCTGGCCCTCTGAGGACATGGGATGCTCCTGGACGTTGGTGTTTCCTCCATCCTAATTTAACATAAATTAGTACTCCAGTTGTGGTAGTGGCAATACCATACAGACTTAGCTAACACAATGTCATGTATCTCATCTTGGGTGATTGTCTTTGTGAATTTTTGAAAATATTTTATGGTATGTAATTTTTACATATTGAACTATGAAAGGGATTGAGTTCAATCTTACCTGATCAGACCCTTGTTCTGTGTGTCCAAAAGGCCTGAAAACAAAAATTAACATAGCTATACAGTGGATATAACAGTTTCTGCAAGAAAATATGAAGCAAACAGTAATTTGTATTTTACCTATTCAAAAGTTTCTCCAGTCTTGGAGTGCTTGCTTCATCTGGACCATCCCACACCTATGTACAACATATAAAAGACATGTTTTATCTTATCAAAAGAAAGTGTAAGTAATTCAATTCAGGAGAAATGTCATAAAGATGCAGACTGACCACAGTGTCAGATAGTGGACTATCTTGAGATGGCAACCTTACATGAACCACACTGTCATCATCACTTGAACTTTGTCCACTGAAACCTTTAAAAAGCAATGATTATTTTGACATTTATGTTAATTATTATTTTTATGTAATTCCACAAATTGTTTAGTTGCATAGGAATTTTTCATAACTTCATATACATGTAAAACAACAAGAAAATTTTAGTATCAGTTGTACAAATAGAATTTTGTACAATTAGCAGCACAGTATACCCAGATAGCACAGAATGATTGAAACAACATTGAATCAATGTCAGCCAGAAACATTGAATCAACGTTGAACGCTGACATTGAAACAACATTGAAAGAGGTCGGAGACTTGTATGTTGAATCAACGTTAGGGTTTCAACCATAACTGACATTATATCAATGTTGATTCAACCATCATCTGTATGTCAACTTGTCTGCATATTTGTGTTGATAGTACATTGAATCAGTTATGAATCAATGTTGATTCTACATTATATTAATGTTGAGTCAACCATCATCTGAACGTGGATCT